CGAATTAACCACCCTAAGCCCCCCCAAGCCCCAAACCCTAAACCCCAAACCGAAAACCCTAAGCGACCAATCCCTAAACCCTGAACCTAAACCCTAAACCCGAACCCCGCCCCCTAAATCCTAATTCGACTCACACATCCGGGTCCTGGAGCAGGAGTAAGGATTCCAAGGTTTGGGGTTTAGGGTTTAGGGTTTAGGGTTTCGGGTTTAGGGTTTAGGGTTTAGGGTTTAGGGTTTAGGGTTTAGGGTTTAGGGTTTAGGGTTTAGGGTTTAGGGTTTAGGGTTTAGGGTTTAGGGTTTAGGGTTTAGGGTTTAGGGTTTAGGGTAGTTTAGGGGTTTAGGGTTTGGGGGTTCGGAGCTTAGGGTCCCACACCTCTCTCAGAGACTGGATCGCTGCTTTGACCACCGGGCTCTCGCCCTCCACGGATCCTGGGTCCAGGGTTTAGGGTTTAGGGTTTAGGGTTTAGGGTTTAGGGTTTAGGGTTTAGGGTTTAGGGTTTAGGGTTTAGGGTTTAGGGTTTAGGGTTTAGGGTTTAGGGTTTAGGGGCGTTCCAGTGTTTTTGGGGCTGAAGCTTCGGGCCCTCAACCCTAGAGCACCCGAACCCTAAACCCAAAATTGCACCCCCACCCCCCCCCCCCCACCCCCAACCCCCCCACCCCCACCCCCCCCCCCCCCCCCACCCCACCCCCCACCCCCCGCCAGCCCGAAAACGCGAAGGTGTGGGCCGTGCGTTATCCCTGAACCCTTGAACCCTAAACCCTAGCCTAAACCCCCAACCAACCCTAAACCCTAAACCCTAAACCTTATTTCAAGCGTTGGCCTGTTTAACTGTCAGCCACATATCTGGGGGAATGAGAGGGAAAAGGGCATGTAGCAAATCACGTCGCAAATCGTGTAAAGGAAAAGGGGCATGTAGCAAATCACGTCGCAAATCCTGTAAATGGAAAAGGGCATGTAGCAAATCACGTCGCAAATCCTGTAAATGGAACCTGTGAGTTCATTGGGCCGAAACGAGGCAATAGCCTCTTTGGTATGTCAGTGGCAATCATTGGGCCGAAATGAGGCAATGGCCTCTTTTGTGTGTCAGTGGCAATCATTGGGCCGAAACGAGGCAATGGCCTCTTTGGCGTGTCAGTGGCAATCCTTAGGTCGAAACGAGGCAATAGCCTCTTTGGTGTGTCAGTGGCAATCCAAAATGGAGAGGCTGGATAGACCTATAGCCATAGACTATAGGACCTGGATCCCCTCTGTCCCCGGAGCCACAAAAACCCTCCCCGGCGCACTTTCGTGAGCCAAAAGTGCACCGGAGAGGGTTTTCATCGTCATCCAAAATGGAGAGGCAGGATAGACCTATAGCCATAGACTGTAGAACTTGGATCCCCTCTGTCCCTGGGCCACGAAAACCCTCCCCGGCGCACTTTCGTGAGCCAAAAGTGCGCCGGAGAGGGTTGTTATCGTCATCCAAAATGGGGGAGGCAGGATAGACCTATAGCCATAGACTATAGAACTTGGATCCCCTCTGTCCCCTGAGCCACAAAAACCCTCTCCGGCGCACTTTCGTGAGCCAAAAGTGAGCCGGAGAGGGTTTTCGTCATCCCGAAAGGAGAGGCAGTATGGACCTATAGCCTGTAGCCAATATAGGCTATAGACACTTAGACTATAGAACTCCTTTTGGATCCCCTCTGTCCCTGAGCCACGAAAACCCTCCCCAGCGCACTTTCGTGAGCCAAAAGCGCGCCGGAGAGGGCTTCCGTCATCCCGAATGGAGAGGCAGGATAGGCCTATAGCCTATATAAGCTATAGACTTATAGACCTTGGAACTGCTTTAGAGACTCTTTGTCCCCTGAGGAAAATGTCCACGTTGTGAATAATGTCATTTTCTGATTTATGAAGAATAGAATACTATGACAGTAAAAACACAATACAGCAATATAACAATATAGCAATATAACAAAAGAACAAGACAACAAGATACCAATACAACAAAATAACAATATAGCAATATAACAATGAAATATGTACATATATATATATATCACAAAATAACAGCATAACAAATATGAAATATATATATATAACAACAGAAGATAATAAGAAAAAAACAACCTTGTTTTCATATGCTCCAGAACAAACTAGAACAGTTCCAGGGCGTACGTTTTTGGGGCAAAATCCCGAAACAAAGCGGAACTGTTCCGGAACTGTTCTGGAACTGTCCCGGGGCCTGGTTTTCTGCTCCGGAACAGACTAGAACTGTTCCAGGGCATGTTGTTTTGCACACTTTTTGACGGTACCCGGAACAGACTAGAACTGTTCCAGGGCCTCCTCTTTCATGGCCTCTGAAATGAATACAACCTGATAATAAAATACCTTCCAGTAAGTCCCCCCGAGTCCACTCCCAGAATAAACAATATAGCCCTCAAGGCCCAAACCAAAGCTTCTAAACCCTAAACAGCCCCAAACCAGCTAAACTTCTAAACAACCCTAATCTTCAAAACCCTAAAGCCAAACTGTTGAACGCACTTCCTTTGCAGGTCCTTCAGGTAGGTTGTTCACTTGTTTTCCTTGTTGCTCGTAGGCCCAAGCACAGTAGGGTCATGAGCATGCAACATTTTCAGACACTTGTACAGTATCACTCTTTAGGTGCCGTAGCCTATAGCGCAGTAGTCAACAAACTTCATGTCCTTTCTTTGTCCTGTTGCTTTCGCTCTCTGTGAAAATAGTAGCTCCGCACTTTGTGAGGGCCATGGCTGGGAATGTTGATTTGAGGGAACAGGCCACTCCACTCATTTCCACCTCTCAGCCTGCTGGTTCTCACCAGCAGGTTATGAGCCCAACGCAGGGCTGCGGCACCGTGATGCCGCAATCATCCCAACCTCCCGGGAGGGACGGTTTGCAAGAGCATATGCAGCAACACCTGATGCACCCACCGCCGGCATTGAGGGCGGTTTGGGTTTTGTGGATATGGCTGCGGGAAGGGCGCGTGCTAGTATAGACCCAGCAGAAGGCGTGCAGCATGCGTCGACCACCACTGAGGGTGGGATATTGCACGGTATGCCCCGAAGCATGCCACAAGCAGTGCAACCTCCGGACGGAAGTCCAGGACCAGAGGCCAACACCATCCTGCGTCAGGACACCTTGGGTGACGACCGTCAGGTTACAGACCAAGGTGGTGACAGGGGTTTGGGGGGCATAAGGTCAACTGGTGAGACCGCTGGAGTTGAGGGGTTCATGACCCCACGTTCACAGGGTTTGCCCGCTATCTCCGAAATGGTTGAAGGCATTCCTGGTGTTTTCATGTCTCGTGTTTCTGAGTTTTTCCGTGTGGCAAGGACTGAGGCGCAGGCCCAGTCACCACCACACCACACACGCAAGCCCTGGAGCAGTGTCTAGGGTGAGGGCTTTGGGAGATGGGAGTGTTGGGTCAAGCGCTTCACCGCTGCAGCCGGACTCAATCGGCACACCCACCACTTTTGGCCCCGCGCCCGGGAGGGAATCCCCATTACTCAATGCCGAGTTGCTGCAACGCATGCAAGCGCTTGAGCAAAGGGCCCCACTCCTTTACCCTAGATCTGCAGCCCCTGAACGCCCCTCGAGCCGTACCGAGTCGTCATCGCTCCCTCAAGAGGCAATTCAAGCAGAGGTTGCCGGGCAGCTTGCAGGTTTTGAGGCTAGAGCCCAGGCGCAGGAGGTGGAGAATCAGAGGTTGAGGCAGCTACTTGAGAGGAGTGAGCAGAGAGAGAGGTCCACGCGGGAAGTAGTGTCAATGCAAGCACAGACCCCAAGTGGCCCACCTCTAATCCCTACTGCCGCTCATGCGCATGTTGAGGCCCCTCTGCCAGCACCATCTCTTGCCCATCAGGTGCAGGATGCCACCTTGCAGGTGATGGACGCATTGAGGGCGCCTGCGTCTGCATCAGGGTTTTGGTCTAATTTGTGGTCGGGTTTGCAGGGTTCGCGAAAGTTGCCCAGCAATGCAACCCCACCCGGAAGGGCTGGGCCTGCGCGTGAGCCCATGGCTCAATCTGCCGAGGTTGCACAGGTGCCAGGTACTGCGCAGGATGCACAGGTGCCAGGTGCTCACAGGGCCTCTTCTGGCCCAGACCCCACTTTCCAGCCCGAAACCCCAGGCCTGGGGCAGATGAGGGCTGAAGGGGCCAATTCCGGCACAAGTCCACATTCTCGGCCCGAGAACACGGGTTTGTGGCAGATTCCAGCAACCCCTCAGGTTTCAGGCGCTTTTGCCAGCGCTGCAGGCCAAACGCCGCCCGGGAGGGTCGGGCAGGTGGCAGACACTCAAGGTCCTCAGGTTTCAGCCGCCGCTGCAGCTCCACATGAGCAGCCCGCCACGCGTGAGGTGCCAAGTTCCGTAGTGGATGCACTGGTTTTAGGGGTGCAGCAGCTGCAAAGCTTGCAAGCTCATCAGCTCAAGGTCAAAGGTGACGATGCCCCTGAAGCAGTGAAACCAGGCATCACAACACTGCCCAAAATTGTTGCCCCCAACCCGTCAGGTGGGTCGTTGGAGTTTCAGGATTGGTTGGTGGATTGATGAGTGATGTGTCGGATTCATCGCTGCTTTGGTGGACAAGCGTGTTGCAGTTAGCGCGTGATGCCTTTGCCCGTTGGAGCGCTTCGTCCCCCGCAGCCAGGTGGGACCAACGAGCGCGACCTGATACTCAGGAACTTGCATGATCCACCACCGTTTAAGGACGTGGTTGCTGGAGTGAGTTTGCTGAGGTCTTGGGGTCGTTGGCATCGCCGTTGTTTTTGCTCCTGATCCCTCCATCTTGGCCCGTGGGTTGACCACTGTGACGTCGCAGCACATTGCCAGGAATCCAGACGTGCAGTTTCGCACTCAGGTGGTACGCAGCGCACTGCACATTGACCTTCACCCGTCGGGAGATGAGGTTTTAGACTACCACAAGCATTTGTTGGCTGAGTTTGAAACTATGGCCGGTGGGTTAGACCCGGCGCAATTGTGGAGCAACTTGGTTACACCCTTATGTGGTCCGCCGGCAGCTGCAAACTCCTTCACCCTGACGGGCGGAAGTTGAAGCTTCGTGTCCGCAATGGTTGCCCGGAACTTGTGCAGTCCAAGGCGTTGGAGTTGATTTCGCGCTTAGAGGAGAGAAAGCTGGCGGAAATTGAGCAGCTCAAGCGCCACACCGAGGAAGGCAGGGACAGGATTCGTCAGGCCAGGATTGCACTTGAGAAGAGCTGGTGGGAGCACTTGATGGACTACGCCCGTGATGGCGTTTCCTGCTCAGGTGACGCCGCTGTTGCAAATGCACCGTTCTTCACTGATGTTCCCCGTGGTGCGTTGCGAGGTTTGGTCCCTTCAGGTGATGCGGGCGACGAGTCATTGTGGGACATGTTGCGCAGTGCTTTGCCCAACCTCAACAGGAGGAGGAGGAAGGCGCTACAGCAGTCAAGGCATTGGATTGTCCACTTGTTTGCAGGCCCGCGCCCTCATAAGACCTTTGCACGGCTTGAGCGTGATGGCACGGTTGTGTTGGAGCTTGATGTGACTCAGTGCGCAGCGCGTGATTTGAACCGTCTTTCACTTTGGGCACTCCTGTTTAAAGCGGCGAAGGATGGGCGCATTGCAGCAGTGATTGGTGGCCCTCCTTGTCGCACTATGTCTGTTCTCCGGTGGAGGCCCAAGGCCAGTGAGGTCCCCTAGTGAGCCGTATGGGTTGAGCGATCTCAGTGCTAGTGAGCGTGCGTTGGTGAACAATGACACGGGGCTGTTTGCTCGGATGTTGTTCTTGCATGCAACAGCGACGGCCGGAAGGCGTGTCCATCATCAGTCCGTGCACCATTCGTCGCAGGTGGCATTCTTACTTGAGCAACCTCAGCCTGTATCTTCCTGTTGGCCATTCGTTGGTTGGTGAGGTTCCCTCGTTTTGGCACACAAGCTTGTGGCGTGCCTTTGCATTAGAGGCAGGTCTTTTCGAAGTCGATTTTGACCAAGGTGCCCTCGGACACGCAACCACAAAGTCAACCACCATAGGCACTAACCTTCCTGACCTGAGGGGCTTGCACGGCCTCCAGAAGGAGTGTCCTACACTGGCATGGAAAGGCGACTCAAAGGACTTAGCCGCGTGGGCGCCGCAGTTTGTGCAAGCTGTTGTTCATGCGTTGCAATGTTGGCCCCGCTACCAGCTATGCCGCATGACGCCCGAGGACTGGCAACGACATGTAGAAAATAACCACGTTCCATACCGTAGGGATTGTGGAGTTTGCGTACGTGGCGCCGGCACCGGCCGTAGGCATCAAGGAGTCACACATCCAGATGTGTATTGCCTGGCTGCCGACGTGGCTGGTCCCATCAGAGTCCCTGCAAAAGACCCCGAGGGTAGGAGCAAACACCCGCCCGTGTTCCGGTACTTCTTAGCAGCGTCCTATCGCTTTCCTAAACTCCAAGGGACAAAGGACGAACCCAACCCAACGCAGGTTGATGGGTTCGATGATCCTTCACTCCACCCTGGCGGGGAGGACGAGTTAGTCGACGTTATTGTGGAAGGCCCGCCGGAGCCAGAGCACCGCCCTGACGGGAAGGATGTGCTGCCCGAGTCTGAAAATGACGCGTGTAAAGAAGCAGGCACGTTACGCGTAGCAGCCGCAAAGGCCAAGGCCAAACCAAGCAAGGCCAAGGAAGAACACCCTTGGGAAAGTGCCAAGTGTGAGTTTGAAGCTCCGCCAGGCCTAGCCAGGTTGGTGTTTGTTGTTCCGCTGCACACAAACAAGAGTGAGGCAGTGCTAGAGGCGCTACAACAAGTGTTCCTATAACTTCGCTCATTGAACCTTCCTGTGCTGCGCTTCCACTCGGATTGAAGTCGGGAGTTCTTTAACAAAAGGACCCGAGCTTGGTTTCACGAGCACGGGGTGCGTACCACAGCTGAAGGAGATACGCCGCAGCAAAACGGAGCAGCTGAGAACACCATCCGCTGGTTAAAGGCTAGGGCGCGCACGCTCCTCGCCCAGGCCGAAGTTGGAACAGAGCTGTGGGCATGTGCAATGGCCACTGCGGCATCGCAGCAACGTGCGCAACAGCTTGGCCTCAAGTCCAAGCTTGCAGCTCCGTTTGGGGCACCGTGCTCTGTGAAACTCAAGTTTTACGGACCTTCTAGGGGTGACTTAGGGGATAGGTGGGTAGATGGTAAGTACATGGGGTTGTCGCCTTCTGTGAATGATGGCCACATCGTCCTACGCAACGACAGAGTGGGCAACGGCTTCCTCCAAACACTCCATGTGCGCTCACGCCTCCATTCGCCAGAGATGCCAGACCGCGTGTTTGAGGGCGATGTGAGGGAGCCTGCGCCGCTCGAGCCGGCAAGGCGTGTGCGTGGGAAGTCCGAGCCAGCGCTTGGCGAGCCACCTCTGCCGCCGCCTCCTCTTCCACCACCGCCGGAAGGTGAGTGCGTGCCCGCACCTGCATGTCGCACTCGACTCCGTGGGAAGTCAAGCCCTGCAGTTAGCAAGTCTTTGCTGTTCCCACTGCCTGACGGTCAGTGTCCGCCTGAGCAATGTGAAGCCGTTGAGGAGGAGTTTAGGGCTAGTCGGTTTAGTGTTGTGGACCTTGAGGGTTTCGCAAAGGAGTTACTGCTTGAAGACTGGGACCTTGAAGAGGCCATGTGGGTCTTGGTCCAGTTCAGCCGTCTGCAGTCTCTTAAGGCCGGCCTTTACCGACACGGTGGTGTAGTAGGCACCACGAGTGCAACAAACTCTTACCCCTGGCTCACAGAGCTGATGGCCGCGACGCTCCTGTCCGCAAGTCCAGAGGCCGAGTTCACGAGTCTTTGGCTTTCCAATACGAACCCCATGTCCCTGCATGCAGACCACAACAATGTAGAAGGGTCTGTCAACGTAGTCTTTCCACTCAAGCTCCCTCCTGAAGGCGGAGACTTGTGGGTAGAACTGCGAGCAGGAGATGTTATCTACGGCTCTGTCGAGCAACGAGTTGATGGTGCAGGAAAGAAGTGGTTGGGCACAACGCACAGCCTGCAAAGAGGTAAGCCCTTCTACTTGGACCCCAAACGCCGTCATGCTACTACCCCTTTTGAAGGTGAAAGGGTTGTGCTCGTAGCCTACACCGTTAACACCTTAGGGAAGGTGCCAGAGTCTGAGCTCCAGGCCCTCGAGTCCTTAGGCTTTCCGCTCCCTGCTTCAGCACGCTTGCCACTCACAACGCAGCAAGATGTCAGGCGCTTGGACGTGTTTGACATGTTCTAGGAGGGTCCCTTAGAGCTAGCAGGTGAAGACTGCCCGAAGAAGGGCGGGGGTTGGAAAGAGACTAGAGCTAGAGGTCTCGTGGAACCTCAAGCACACTCCGGTGCAGCACGAGCAGACGACCCTGGAGCCAAAACCCCATGCGCAGGTCGAGGAGAAGTCCTGGCCAGAACAGCCTGTGCAGTGGGAGCTGTGGCTTCCAGACCCCCAAAGTGGCCAGCAACTGCGCGCACGCCGGTCTGACGACCTGGACCTGCGTCTTTGCAAGTCCGAGCCAGTGTACACTCCAGACATTGAACAGCTGCTCAGTGGTTTAACTGAGCCACTGCAGATAGTTCATACTGTCGACCCGCGAGAGGCGGAAAAGCACAGTGAAGTGTGGATCCCGTCAATCCTGAAAGAGATCGGGGTCATAGAAAAAGCTGTGCACCGTTTGCAGCCTAGCGAGGTGCGCAAAGGGAACTGGCTTCACCGCACTAACGTGAGGGTTGTGCCGGCAAAGCTGGTGTTCACTGTTAAGCCTCCTGACGTGCAAACCACCGCGCCCGGGAACGGGGAGCACGCAACTTAGGCAAGCTTGTTCAAACGCAAGGCGAGGCTTGTTGCGTGTGGAAACCATGCCCCTTCCACTGGCACCGAAATATACGCGTCAGGTGCTGCAGCAGAGTCACTTCGTTGTTTAGTGGTCATTAGCTCTAAGAGGGGTTGGATGCTAGGCATCTTAGATGTAACCTCAGCGTTCCTCCTCACGCCCATTCCCCAGGGTGACGGGTTTCCTGTGTTTGCCCTAACGCCGCCGCGCTACCTTGTGCGGCAAGGTCTTGCGCAGGAGGGAGAGCTTTGGATCCTCACACACGCCGTCTATGGACTCAGGGAGTCACCAAAGCTGTGGTCAGACTTTAGGGACTCTCAGCTTCTTAACCTTAGATGCGTCGTCAACGGGGTTGAGCTGCAGCTACTCAAGGGCAAGTTAGACACGAACTGGTGGCGCGTCGTGCAAACCAGCGATGGTCAAGTCGTGGGAGGTTTAATCACCTACGTTGATGACTTCCTACTTGCTGGATGTGTTGAAGTCATTGAGGCTCTCGCCAAGGCCATCCAGTCGATCTGGAAAACGACGCCCCTCACACTTGCCACGCCGCAGCAGCCGTTAAGGTTTCTAGGGGTTGAGATCCTAGTGCAGGGTTTAGGGTTTGTTCTGTCGCAGCAGGCCTACGCAGAGGAGCTGCTACGCCTCAACAACGTCAAGCCCACTGCACTGGGTAAGATCCCTTGCCCAAGGGACTTGGTGTCCTTTGACACTCTCCTGACGGATGAGGCGCCCACCGAGGAGTCAGTTCGTACAGCCCAGAGGCTGACCGGAGAAATCTTGTGGCTGAGCCAGCGAACGAGGCCGGATCTCGCGTTCACCCCTTGTGTCCTTGCTACGTTGAGCACAAAGGCGCCCGAAAGGGCTGCACGCATCGCTGAAAGGGCACTTGCATACGTGCAGCAAACCAAAGCCTTTGCTCTCACTGCTGACGCAGATGACACGGGCTTAGTTGCATACAGCGATGCCTCTTTTGCGCCAGATGGCAATCGCTCGCACACTGGTTGGGTTGTCTTCCTTTACGGCTCTCCTGTCTGTTGGCGTTCCGCTAGGCAGTCGTTTGTCACACTCAGCACTGCAGAGCCCGAGCTCGTCGCAGGACTTGATGCCGTCGTTGCACTGCAGTCAGCAGAGGCCATGCTGGGTGAGTTTGGGGTCTTTAACTTGGGTAAGACCTTGAAGGTTGACTCTCAGTCTGCGCTTGCTATCGCCATTGGCCAAGGGTCTTGGCGAACCCGCCACCTGAAGGTGCGCGCCAACTATTTGCGAGAGCAGTATGAGGCAGGAGAGATAATCCCCGTTTACTGTCCAGGTGTGGAGCAGGCTGCAGACCTCCTCACGAAAGCGCTTCCTGCAGCGAGGATCCTCGAGCTCGCAGCCATTTGGGGTTTGTTCGAGCACTGTCCAGAGGACCCCCGCCAAGCGGAAGCTGTGGCTGCCGACCTGCCTACCCACCCTCAGTATCCGCAGCTCAAGTTGCTTTTCCTATTGCTTGCAATGGCGCAGATCCAAAGTGCCAAGTGTCAGCCTGAGCTCTTTGATGAAGAGGAGGAGATGTACATCAGGTTGAATTAAGTACGGATCTCATGTTCATGTTGCTTGTGGGTTTTGTCGGCATTGGCTTTATTGCCGTGTGGGAGCTTGCCAAGTGGTGCCTGAGACGCCACTCTCTTTGCCATATCCACAGCACTGCCAAGCAGAGGAAACTGCAACGCCTTCGTGACCGAACGGCACAAGCAATCGAGGCCGAACTTTCCGCACGCAGGCAGCCAGAAGATGGAGCCCCAACTCGTTACTTTGCTGCCCCTGAGGGGGAGAGGCTCCATCGCATGAAGGACTGTCCTGCAATTGCAAGGTCATCCAATCTTTGCATATTTGAGGTGTGTCAGCGGTGCCACCGGCGTGCACCAGATCACACCACGCACAGCACAGGGTAGGTACTACTCCGCCCTGACGGGCAGGATGTGCATCGCATCGCGCATTCATGCCAAGTTTTTCCTCTTTTGCACTGCAACTTGCAGTTTGCAGAGATGCTCGTACGCATCTCTTTCTGAGCGCCTTAGGGTAGGGGACACTCTCCACCCTGGCGGGCAGGACCTGCGCAGAAGTAGGAGTAAGGTAGGTTTATGATGCCCGATAGCCTTATAAGACAGGAATCTTGCAAAACCAGCAAAAAGTTAAAAAATCGAAAAAAGATCGAAAAAGAATCGCGAAAATATCAAATCAAAAATCGAACCTAAACAGCCTGATGTGCCCCGAATCCAACAAAATACATAATAACATTTTTCTTCGATTTCTCAGTCCGATCGTTTTTCTGAAAATCGAATTGGCCGATTTTTCCCGATTTCTTGGCCCGATCGATTTATTTCGATTTTCTGAGAATCGAATCCACCGATGTTTTTTCGATTTCTTGGCACGACCGATTTTATTTCGATTTTCTGAAAATCGAATTCACCGATGTTTTTCGATTTCTTGGCCCGAACGATTTTATTTCGATTTTCTGAAAATCGAATTCGCAGATGTTTTCGATTTTGCGGCGATTTTTTCCGAATGATTTTCGATTTTTTGTCGATCTCGGGATTGCTGTTATAAGGGGAAATTCTTATACCGGAAAGTTTTTGCAATCTCAAAATCGATCAAAAAATCAATCAAGACATCGACCAAAAATCAACCAAAAATCGACCACAATCACGCCAGCATGCTTTGATCGTCCTGGCCCAAAATGCATCCCCAGGTCGGAAGCTCCGAATTAACTTCTAGTTTGTTTTGATTTCTCCGAAAACAAAGCAAGTTCGTTTTGATTTCTCTGAAATCAAAGCAAATTTGTTTTGATTTCCCCAGAATCTGAAAAAAAGAACCTTCTGATGTCTCCAAAACCCAAGGCTTTTTTGGCCGATTGTTCGGCGATTTTGGCGGCGATGTTTTGGCGAACTTGAGGGGTCCCTGTCTTATAAGCTATCGGGCATCATAAAGGTAGGTCGCTGTCCCCTGGCGAGGCCGCGAAGGAGGAGTGTTGAACGCACTTCCTTTGCAGGTCCTTCAGGTAGGTTGTTCACTTGTTTTCCTTGTTGCTCGTAGGCCCAAGCACAGTAGGGTCATGAGCATGCAACATTTTCAGACACTTGTACAGTATCACTCTTTAGGTGCCGTAGCCTATAGCGCAGTAGTCAACAAACTTCATGTCCTTTCTTTGTCCTGTTGCTTTCGCTCTCTGTGAAAATAGTAGCTCCGCACTTTGTGAGGGCCATGGCTGGGAATGTTGATTTGAGGGAACAGGCCACTCCACTCATTTCCACCTCTCAGCCTGCTGGTTCTCACCAGCACAAACCCTAAAACACCCAGCCTAAACCCTAAACTAAACCTAAATCCGAAACCCTTAAGGTTTTGGGGGTTAGGGTGTTTTGTGTCGGGCTTTGGCCCGAACCCTGTGAAACCCCAAAACCCTAAACCCCCAAACCCTCAACCGTGTCCTTGAGTTTCTTGCACGGCCTATGTATGGTTGCGCCCCGGCGGCCCCCCGCCCCCCGCCCCCCCTCCCCACCACCACGGCCACCACAGACCACCACCACGGCCACCACAGACCACCACCACGGACCACCACCACGGACCACCACCACAGGACCACCACCACCACGGGACCACCACCACCACCACGGGACCCCCCCCCGCCTAGGGTTTAGGGGTTAGGGTTTAGGGTTTAGGGTTTACGGTTTAGGGCTTAGGGTTTAGGGGTTTAGGGGTTTAGGGTTTAGGGTGTAGGGTGTAGGGTTTAGGGTTTAGGGTTTAGGGTTTAGGGTTTAGGGTTTAGGGTTTAGGGTTATACAAGGGTTTAGGGTTTAGGGTTGAGGCTTGGTTTAGGGTAGACTGTAGACCATGGGAGGGTGGGATACCTTACCTGGGGGGGGGGGCGGAACGCACAGCGCACAACCATATATAGGGGTGGCCAAAAAGTTGAAAGACTACCTTGTCTAGGGTTTTGTAGTTGTTTTCAGCTTTCTTGTTTTTTTGTAAAAGCATTTTTTCGCTTAGCAACAATAGACAAGAGGTGAAACATCGTCACTAAAACGACTAAGTAGTTTAAGAAAATTTTCGCCCGGCTTTGGTCACTAAAACGACTAACTACTTTAGGAAATGTGTCGCCCAGCTTTGGTCACTAAAGCGACTAACTACTTTAGGACATGTGACGCCCGGTTTTGGTCACCAAAACGACTAACTACTTTAGGACATGTGTCGCCCGGTTTTGGTCACTAAAACGACGAACTAGTTTAGGAAATGTGTCGCCCGGTTTTGGTCTCAAAAACTACTAACTAATTTAGGAAAAAAAGTGTCGCCCGGCTTTGGTCACTAACACGACACTAGCTACTTTAGGAAATGTGTCGCCCGGCCTCAATGTCCAAAACACATATTTGAGCAAAAGGGGCCAAAGCTGAAAGAGGCCACCCGCCACAACTGGGCTTTCGCCCAAAGTCATGTAGCTAAACAGGCCACCCCCCTTGAATGTCCAAAACATGTATTTGAACAAAAGGGGCCAAAACTGAAAGAGGCCACCCGCCACAGCTGGGTTTTGCCCAAAGCCCTGTAGCTAAAGAGGCCAGCCCTCTTCAATGTCCACACTCAAAAACAACATATTTTCGGAATCTCTTCCCAAATCTCTTCCCTAATCTGTTACTGTTACGGGCCATTTTGACAGGCACCCCTTCATAAAGAGGCCAGGGGGGTGGTCTCTTTAGTTACAGGACTGTGGGCGAAAGCCCACTTGTGGCAGGTGGCCTCTTTCAGCTTTGGCCCCCCCTACTCAAACATGTGCTTTGGACATTCAGGGGGGGTGGCCTCTTTAGGTACAGGACTGTGGGCGAAAGCCCACTTGTGGCAGGTGGCCTCTTTCAGCTTTGGCCCCTACTCAAACATGCGCTTGGGGGGGTGGTTGTGGCAGGTGGCCTCTTTCAGCTTTGGCCGGGTTCCTAAACCCTGAACCCTGAAAATATTTACGGAATCTCTTCCCAAATCTGTTTCTGTCACGGGCCTGCGGGGGTCCCAATTTCCTGAACCCTAAAAATATTTACGGAATCTCTTCCCAAATCTGTTTCTGTTGCGGGCCATTTTGACAGTTACCCCTTCATAAAGAGGCCATTGCCTGAAATAACCTAAACCCTAAACCCTCAAACTGGCTGAACATCGAACAACCCCACAGCGAGGCTGGCACCTTAGCACTCTTTTCTGCATGGTCAAGGGTTTAGGGTTTAGGGTTTAGGGTTTAGGGTTTAGGGTTTAGGGTTTAGGGTTTAGGGTTTAGGGTTTAGGGTTTAGGGTTTAGGGTTTAGGGTTTAGGGTTTAGGGTTTAGGGTTTAGGGTTTAGGGTTTAGGGTTTAGGGTTTAGGGTTTAGGGTTTAGGGTGAGCCGACCATCTGCACACACTTCACAAGCATGACCATCCCAGCTGCGACTCTCAAACTGGTCCCAAATCTGCGGGCACATCACACTGCCGATCTTCATTCCCTCCAAAACAGATGAGCTGACCATCTGACCGCACTGCACAAGTATGATAAACGCCAGCTGAGACTGCCAAAACTGGTCCCAAATCTGCGGGCACATCACACTGCCCAAATTTGTTGTCTCCAAAACAACTCAGACCACCATCTGACCGCACTGCACAAGTATGAGACTCACCAGCTGAGACTGCCAAAACTGGTCCCATATTTGCGGGCACATCACAGAGCCCATGTCCATTGTTTCCAAAACAGATGAGCCGACCATCTGCCTGCACAGCGCAAGTATGATATCCGCCAGCTGAGACTGCCAAAACTGGTCCCAAATCTGCGGGCACATCACACTGCCCAAATTTGTTGTCTCCAAAACAGATCAGACCACCATCTGACCGCACTGCACAAGTATGCTCAACGCCAGCTGAGACTGCCGAAACTGGTCCCAAATCTGCGGGCACATCACACTGCCGATCTTCATTCTTTCCAAAACAGATGAGCTGACCATCTGACCGCACTGCACAAGTATGATATCCGCCAGCTGAGACTGCCAAAACTGATCTCAAATCTGCGGGCACATCACAACGCCCAATCCAACGTCCATTGTTTCCAAAACAGATGAGCCGACCATCTGCCTGCACAGCGCAAGTATGATATCCGCCAGCTACGACTGCCAAAACTGGTCCCAAATCTGCAGGCACATCAC